TTTGAAGTTACTTGGACTGCCTCGTCTCTCAGAGTTAGCATGGTAAGACGGACTGTACCCTACACCACAGTGCCTTTGATGATGTCACCACCTGGAGTGGTGAAAGCTGAAGCCAGATCCAACTTTTACGCCGCATGAGGTTGCGTCATTTTGCTGGAGCCCCCTGCAGTGCTGGCGCTGGCTGCGGGGAATGCAGTCCCCCAAAGAAATGAATTTAGACGGCTGCATTTTTTCCACACCTTTGAAACTCAGTCTGAACACGACCTTAGGGTTTCCACTGTTTCTCCCCAAAGTTTGGATTAGCATAAAGGAAAAAATGAATTAAAATTTCTGTAACTAAACAATTTAAGATTTGAATAAAAGCTCATTTCTATAATTAAATAAAAATGTAATCAATATTAAACCAGTAAATTAAATAGTTTAGAACAACCTTTGCACCAATGGTCACAGGCTCTTTTTCTCTGTAAAGGGCCAAGTTACACGCAGCTCGATCCTCCAGCTGGTGCTCCAGGCGGTGGTCATCCTAATGGTCATGTGGTGAATAGGAAAAATTATTAGGCATCCACCTTGGTGACAGCTGTTTGACCGCTGATTGGAGGGGGACAGAAAACAAATAACACTGCAAATGGCAACGACGAACCTGGGTGCTCCAGCTCAGAGGAAGGAGGAAGGGGTGTGGGGCAAAAACTAACATGTCTCCAGAAGTACAATGGGCTTGGGGGTCATAAAAACAAATGCATGTGGCTACTTAATATTCATGAGACCAGCGAAGGGGGTGGATTTCACAAAAAGGTGCCCTTCTAAATCTCTGTCTCACACTCTCTGGCTTGGAGGCTAAAGGAGAATTTTTGATTGTCAAGTCAGTTTTATTTATACTGTCTACCCTAGAATCACAAATGCTGTGAGAGCTTTACAATGTGTACAACACTTTATATCTTTGGATGCTTCTATTTCCAAATATGTTTCATCTTCCATTCAGTAATAAAAACATATTAATAGTACAGTTGCAAATCTCTAGGATATGATTTCTGACTGCTTTGGCTGCTGGGTTTAATAGATTTGACACTGTGTTACAAGATGGTCAATTCTACAGATATGATGATTCATTTTTGACCTCACTGCAGAACATACTCTTTATTCACCAAAATATTTTTAATAAAGGTTCATTTACATATATATACTTATTCTAGACCTTTCAATCATATCTTCCATATTCTTCAGAAAATACTTTAAAGTTCAGAAATCATACTACCAGACAATTTACCTTGTGTGAGAACCAAGGCACCGATCTCATCGTTTTCTTTCCACTTTTATGACTTAACCAAAACACCTGTTCACACACAGGCAAGAACCTCTGGTACTGCTTTCTAATAAGGCAGCTTTTATAAAGCTATAACTAAAGACTTCACTAATGGCCAATGAACTGTTTACTAATACTCCTAGTGCATAATTAGTTCATAAATGTATTTACATTTGCAAAAAAATTTGCAATAGCTGCATTTTCATAAGAGGTCACATAAAACAACCTTGTTATCATCATACCTGGTTGACAGCATTAGGCCAATTCTGTGTCTCCAGGCAAAAGGAGCTGTGTTTCCCATACCTAGCTCCACCCTTTCCTTTAATAGAGCCATCCAGGAAGTTTGCAGTGTAGAACTGGATTCCTGGTTGGCTAGTAGAAACCTCCAGGACATGCCCACTGGCTGGGTGACATACTCTAAGGTGAGGAAAGATGTTCTTCCATGAGACTTTAATAAAAACAAGTGTGTGTCTGTGTTAGGAGTCTGTGTGTAGTGTGTACAAGTGTATTTGTAAAAAAAAATGCCACAAACCTAGCAGCATGTCTCTCTGTGCATGTGTCTCCGGGCAACGAAAGACAGAAGTTGTGGTCAAACCCTGGACCTGGAAATTCCTTCAACCGAGGGCCAATCAGAACAGGCTTTCTGAGGTCAAAGGGTGAGCCTTCCACTGCTCTGATCTCTCCTGTGAATAGATTAGGTTTCTGATTGAAGGTCAAGGGCCATATAGTCAAAAAATGTCCACTGATTGATAGACAGAGCCAATAGATTAAGAGAAACCTTCATACATGTGGCATTCAGACTAAAAGCATGGAATTATAATTACTGACAAGATCAACACAGATCCACATTAATAATAATAAAAGGCCTGCTGTGTATTCAGGGATAGTGACATTCTATGTGATCAATCGCTTTAAAAGTTAGAGGTAAATGAAAGATGTCTTCTTAACTCATGGCACTCACTGAGCCTCTCACATCATTGTTTTGCATGAACACACATGAACAGCAAGCCAGTGCAGTCAGATTTATAATGCCTTGTTCAGGTTTTAACAGACAGAAGGCACAGGCTGGGAAAATAGGCTGGATTAGATAGTCAGGTTTTGAGTACAGCACACTTATTGTATCCGTGCATGTCACAGAACCGATTCCATTTTGCCCTCTAAATCAGCCCTTGGGGTGGATCTCCAGTGTAACACAGTTTCTGTGATATAAATACCCAGTCATTACAGTCATTAGCCCCTGTGTCTCCAGGGAAAACCACAGCTAATTGCAGAGTAATGAGCATGTTTGTCTGACAGGGCATAAAGAAACACACTCCCACACCAAGCACGACCTGATGGCAAACATATACAATAATTAAAGTTCATACAGTACAAAGTAAACACTGAAAATAGATTCAACAGTCACACAAAGCAAATGAGTGCTAAACTAAACTGTTATCTAAAACTGCACCACAGACAACAGGGCCCGACCTGTGGAAACAGAGATGTTGACACAGAGGCAGAGCCCGACTACAGCACAGCGACACTCCTGGGTAAAGAACACGCTGCTGTGCAGTTTAAAGACAAGAGATTTCTGCAGGAAAAACTAAGGTAAGTGATGGAAAAACAGAGGAAACATACTGTCTATAAAAAAGATTGTTTTAAAACAGCTAAGTGTGCACATGTCAGTAATGAAGTTGCTGCTGTAAACCTGGTTACCAGCTATTGTACAAGCAGAAGCTGTTTTTTAAGTCCAGGCAATATCTGATGAAGTAAACCTCAAGGCTTCCTGATTTGGTATTAAGACATTCTGATAAAACATATCCTGTAGAAGGTGGTGGCTGTGTGTTGACTTACTGACTGATGTGACTCCAAAATATAACTCTATTAATTTATGTGGAAGATGATAAAGACTTGCATAACACCTATCCTTTTTAATGACTACTTGCAGGATATATACAGACAGAAGACACAGGGGGAGAGAAAGAGAGATAAGCTTGGACAAAGGTGCCATCTGGAAACAAGCTGGATATGCTGTGGTTATATGGCGTGAGTCTTAAGCCCTAGAGCTGAGCAAAAAGTGTGCATTTATACAGTATCTTTACTTTTTCTGCTTTGCCTTTAGAAACTCAGTATGGCTACTAAAGCTGCACAGTGTAATTACAACATAATGACATTGCAATTTAACATTTCCATAAAAAAAACATTAACTTTGTTATCAGTTAGAAATGATCTAATTTTAGTGATACCATTATCTACAGACATCATTGTGCGCACGCTTCATCACATTCATAAGAATGCATCAAACAGCTGCTGTGGCTTCTGATGTTGATGTTGACATGGTGCTTCTGCTGTGCCAGTTGATCACATTCACAGACGCAGAGGTGGAAAGTAACTAAGCACATTTACTCAAGTACTGTACTTAAGTGCAACTTTGAGGTATCTGTACTTTACTTGAGTGTTTCCATTTTCTGCTACTTCATACTTTGACTTCACTACTTTTTAGAGAAAAATATTGTACTTTGTACTCGCTACATTTATTTGGTAACTTTTAGATACTAGTTACTTTTCAGAAGGAGGTTATAAAATAAAATATAGAAAAATCACAAGATTTATTGATCGTCAGTGTAAAACTCACCAGCTACCAGCAGTCACGGACATCGCATGCATAAAAGGTAGTTAATATTAGCTCCACCTTTAGCGGCTATAACATTAAATGGCATGTACATAATAATAAATCAATAATTCTAATTGAATAACATGATGTACATCAATGTAAAATGTGCCATTTTGCATGATGAGTACTTTTACTTTTGGCACTTTAAGTATATTTTGTGTTTTTACTTCAGTTACATTTCAAATGCAACACTTGTAACAGAGTCATTTTACACTGTGGTATTGCTACTTTTACTTAAGAAAAAAATCTGAATACTTCCTCCACCGCTGCATAGACATATTTTGATAAGCTTTATAATCAGCTTAAATAATTCACTATTGCTGGGATCTGTCGCTCTTTGTTGCAAGAGATTGTGTGATGTAAATATTTTACTGCCATACTCAGAGGTTAGTCTTGAGAAGACTAAAGTAAAGGGATACAAAGTGTACTGAGAACAGTGACAATCCACAGTTTGCCATAGCTATCCTAAGAGTACATCTGCATGTTGCAACTTTGTGCTGTCATTTAATTGTTGCTTTTAATTTTCATTTAATGTTTTAACCTAACTTGCATTCTAAAGTTTTATTTATCTGTATGTATTATGTGCATTGTGGTAAGCACTTTGAAGCGTGTATGAAAATGTGCTATATAAATAAAGTTGCCTTGCCTTACCTGTAGGAATTGATGTCTCATCCACGGGCAGATAGGACTGAGCACTGATGGACACTGTAGGAATCGATGTCTCATCCACAGGCAGATAGGACTGAGCACTGATGGACACTTCATGGTCATAGATATCTGTTGCAGCCTGCAGACACACAATGACATAGTGCATTCCCTATAGCCCAGAACCCTAACTATAACAATTCAATGTCTAATCCAAAGCCTTATCCTTACTTTACAGAAAGCCTACAGTAATTCTGCCCTTAACCCTAAAACCAATTTCCTTTTGGGGATCAATAATGTAATTAATCTATCTATCAAGACTTAACCCTCAAACAGCGCGTTGAAGTTGTGACGATCAGCCAAAATGTTCCCACTGTACAGACATGTCCTCACGATGATGGGATAAAAATAAAATTTGTCCAATGGTCTTATACTTGTATAGCGCCTTTCTATGCTTTTACAGCACACTCAAAGCGCTTTCACACTATTCACCCATTTGCACTCCCAAATTCACACCCCGGTGACATCACTGGGAGCAACTGGGGGTTCAGTGTCTTGCTCAAGGACACCGCGACATGTTGACCGGACAAGCCGGGAATCGAACCGCTAATCCTCCGGTTAGGAAACGACCCGCTCTACCTCCTGAGCCACACAACCATAATAAGACACACACACACACGTATCAATTCATACATCTATTTTTCAATTCAACACTTATATCCTAAACCATGTTTTAGGATATAAGTGTTATAAATATAACTTCTGAAAATGTAATATGGATATTCATGAGCTTGAGGAGCTAGCAGAAGGTAAACAAAGCTGAGAGCTTGCACAAACTCTTGCACATGCGCAGCTGACTCTATCTTGTGCTGAATTCAGGAAATTCTGGATGCTCAGAGACTTTGGGGCAACATAGTCAGGTCTGCTGTTTGATTACCAAATGTGTCACCCAGTGCAGCGGTGTTTCCCTGGTGTTTTTAATCCTTTTTGAACAACAATGAAGGTCTGTGGCACAGATGAACAAGCTCATCCAGGACTGACAGCTGACAGACGTTTGCCATGAGTAGAGGCAATTCATTGTCGGTTTTAGTCTCTGTATGGAGAAAATACTGCTGCTGAAAATATTATTAATATTGAAAATGGCTGGCTTTATCCTTTAAATTTCTGTTCAAGTTACGGTATTTAACTGTGAATACAATTATTTGTGTCCACAAAGAGGTCGGGAACAGAGGTGCACCAAAACAAAAGCTTGGGACAGGAAATCATGAGTTTATTTGATGTAATTCACAACATACTGTAACTGAAATGAAACCACAGGTCTGATTAATAAGGGAAGTTCATCTCTGGCATTTCCCTTTTTACCTGTACCATGAAGAACCTTATAGAAAGGAAGCGTCTGTTGTATCTCAGCAATAAAAGCATTTGATTTAAATGCCAGTTTCTACAAGGCTGTAATCCCTACGCACCAGGGAGAAAGAATATTAAGACATGAGATACTGACATAATTTCACTAAAGCATATTGGCTAGTAAATCATGTCTTCAGATTAAGGGGCATCCTCTCCATAACCTGGATAATTAGATCATGACTTTACAAAAAGAAAATAAATCAATGCAGATACAAATAATAAAAGAAAATAAAGCCTTATTGGTTTATGTGCTTTCAGTGTCTGAGCAATAACTTTACAGACTGTGCTCTGAAAATCTGTTCAGTCTAAATACAGAGATTTAATGAAGATGCAGATGCTTGTCAAACTGTTTAAGGGGAAATGTAGAGATACACTTTTATCACGTTGGTTGACATCACTACACTGCTCCACTGGTAGTAGCTGCTATTGTTTGGACTATTCTATTCATATTATCTGCACAAATACCAACTCCAGACTGACAGCTGAGCCAGCTCGACGTCGCTTCAGATGATGGCCCAAAGAAAAGGTTTGATGTCTCTAAAACCACGTTTACTCGCGTCCTCTGTCTTTGCATTTTTTCCTTGTATCTTACAGTACATGAGAAGGATTAAGACGTGAGGATAAGATGCAAGGGAGGGGAATGAGAAGACATTTTAAAGTAATGCAAAGCACCCAGTGTGCACAAGCCCACAGAACGTCAGAAAGGATTCACCCTGGACTCTAAGACCAGTCAGTCACTTCAGAACAATGCATCTGTAATTTAGCTTTCTAGAAGCTGCCAATGTAAACTTAGCCTGGTTCCCCTGCACCTCATAAAAGTCGAACGGACATTTAACTTTTATTTTTTGTATGTATACATGAGGACTGTCATATTAAATACTGCTCACAAGTCAGACAGATGTCTAGGAGAATGAGGTCTTGCAGAAGAGGTTGAAAACAATACTGTACTTCAGCAGCCTCATGAAGGTCTGATAGATACTGGTTTCACTATGAACTTCTTTTGCAGGGCTAGTAAAGTTATTAAAAAAGAACTTTGAACATTTTATGAGTTGAATGTAAATGAAGTTGTCAAACTAACAAAACTAACAGCTGCAGAGGTTGTCTGATAACAAACTACGTGTGCTCATCATAATGCATGCATATGGCCTCATGTAACAGAACAACACTTTTATGTTGTACAGTTGTTCTCAGTTGCTTCGGTACATTTCTCAAATCAACCTAGTTTGTACAAACAGCACCACACAGTGGATTACCTGAAAAAGCATGGCACTTGCATCAAAATCCTTGGTTGATCTCTCCAAAGGGAATATTTATGTCAGTGCCATCAGAATGACAAGTCCTCGTGTCATCGTTTAGGAACACTGCAGTCAGAATGCTTAGTCATGTTGTCAGTATGAAGGATTCTCTGATGTCATGGCTCAGGTTTGGATGACAGTGGAAATACACAAGGCTGCACTTGTTCTGTTTGGCATGTATCAGTCTCAACAGTACAATGTTTCACATTATTCTATGTGGGAGATTCATTGAGCAAGATCAGACAGATCCACATTTACCCTTTTACTGTTATTGTGACAGAGAAAAGTGTTTTACAGCACCGTAGAGCGCAAAGGAAATATGGTAAATGGACTGAATTTATATAGTGCATTTTTCCACAGTGGCACTGGCCAAAGCACTTTACAGGAGATCATACACCATTCACACACAACATTCACACACCGATGACGACAGGCTGCCACACAACGGCGCTAGTCAAGCCACCGGGAGCAATTCGGAGTTCAGTGTCTTGCTCAGGGACACTTAGGCATGCAGGGAGACCAGGAGTCGAACCACCAACTTGCTGGTCAGGAGACGACTGCTCTACCTCGTGAGCCACAGCCACCCCACATATCACCACAGGAAGCACCTCCTAGACAGAACAGTGTTCTCCCGACACTCAGCGGCCTTCGACCAGCCTCTGCCATTGCAATGCCTCCCTACCCTTCCACCACACAGCCTTCCTCCTCTTCTTCTTCCTGACAGTTGACGCTGTTATTTTCTTGTGTTTCCATTGTCAGAAATCCTAACACTGTGTTGTGCTCTGTCTATATATGCTTGCCAGCTATGAAATGCACCTGAGCTATGTTACGGTATCACTGGTTGATCTAACGTTTCACATATATCTCTTCACCAGTGAAAGTCGAGATTCACCTGAGAGGAACTCAACAATTCAGACCATGTCGCAAAAAAGTCTCTGCACAGAGCCGCACAGAAATATGCCTGGCAGATACCAAAGACCACTAGCTCACCAATTTTCATGTAATGACATCTGTAATGAACTAATGCCTGGTTGTTCTGCGAGTCAGACTGTTCAGCAGACTGTACATAATCATTGGTATGAATGTGATTTGTTAAAAACAGTGAGAAACTGTTTAAATGATGTGCACAAGTGACCAGATGAAGTGAATTCATAGTTGGTTGGTTTTAATATCTTATGGATTAAGTCATAATAATGACAACTTAGATTTTAATTATCATGAGTAGAAATCACCCACATGCCTGGGTCTTCATTTATCAAGCCAGAACTAACTCCTATACTTTAACTGACCCTGTTTGCCCCCCCTCCTATGTGAGGATTTCTTCTCTCCAGCTTAAAGCTCCTTCATTCTACATTAAAAGTGATCATCATTAACAATGAACCTAAACAGAGGCTCTCTTTCACATTCTTCCGTCTTCCTGGGTCTCTTCCACCCTTCCAAAAAAAAACACATCACTGCTGGATGATCACGTGCCCTTACCTGTCCAGCCAGGTTGAAGTAGGAGTGGTTAGTGAGGCTGATGGGGGTGGTTTTGGTAGACCGGGCTTTGTATTCAGCAGTTAGTGTTTCCCCCTGAACACACAATGTTTAACTCACATCTACAAGGCATACATGCAACATTTATAAATATCTGTGTTGTAAAACAGTGGAAATGTTTGTTTTCTACACAACTGACATGTAAGTAAGTGTGGAATTTTGCAATGTAAAACACAAGTTTCTTTCTTTGTTTGTGACAAATGCTGTAATAACTCAACAGTACTTTTTCCAAAGGTTGTTTGGATTCTCAACTGAACATTAACCCGAATCATTCATAAGCCAAAGCTCTTCAGGCAAAAGCAAACTTCAGACGATAAACAGAAAAATGTTTAGGATGCTACAGAGCTGTGAAGCTATGAACCAGCTGTGTTTACCTGTAGGGTGTAGGTGACAGAGACCCGAACCTCTCCAGGATAACCCTGGTCTCCATCTGGACTGGTAAGACTCAGCTGTACACCACCTTCCACTGGTGTAGCACACCAGAGAATCTGAAGGGACAAACAGACACATACCAATACAGCATTAAGTCTTTGGCATTATAGAGCATTATAAGGTGGAGCTAACTAAATGACTGACTGTGAAGTGATGGTGGATGAACACCTGTCTATATTAACTGAGCGCATACATACAAGCCACACCTAATAATTGAAAATCATTCCAGGTGACTACCTCATGAAGCTGCCAACAGTCTGCAAAGATATCATCTAGGAAAACAGCGCTTCTCTCAGATATGAAAAATACTCTATTTTGCTTTAAGACTTTTTTACTTACTGCATAATTCCATGTGTTATTTTAGAATTTGGATGTCTTAAAACAGTGTAGAAAGTAACAGAAGAAAAACAGTGAATGAGAAGGCAAACAGTGTAGAAAATAGAAGAAAAACAGTGAATGAGAAGGCAACTTGGATATCTGGATAAATGTGAGATTTCATCATCTTCCACACTCCCAGCCTCTTTCTTTTTGTCAGGACAGTGTTTCCTTGCTGAGCTGGAGCGGAGGAACAGTAACATAAAGACTGCGTTATGTTCTATTAGCAGTCAATTTAGGGAAACGACAAACCTTTAAAATGTCTTTATGGACGGACAGGGGGCTGAGATCTTGTCACAGCCACTGTGTACAAGGAGGAATGGTTACATTATAATATGTTAAACCGTCTCTGAAAGAAATTTCCTAGTTGTCTTATTTGCTGGAAGTGAATGCACCCATAATGTTAACAATAAGTCCTTACTGTTCATGTCACTTAATTGTGTTGTTGTTTATAACTTATACTATTTTGATTTCCGTTGAAGTATATTTATACTTGATACTTATCTTTGAGAAGTTTTGTTATGGGACCTTGTTACAGACATTTCTTTGTTATGTGTTCATCAGCTTGATTTTACAAGCTCTTAAATATCAATATTACTTTTGGCCTCAGAAATCTATTATTAGTCGGGGCGATGTCATGCTGCCAGGTACTGATGGGGACACTGAACATGCACATTCAATCAGTTCAGTCAGTGTAAGTGTGTTTGTTTGCCTCACGAGACGCCTTAATCTAAATCAGATGTCACGAGAAAAAACATGCACAGTCACTGTCCTCATAATATAATAGGCGTAGGGTCTTTGTGTGTGTGTTGGATGGTGAGGTAGGTGACTGAATTCTGATTAGCCCGTGCTGACACATACAGTATAGCCCTCAGGCTGAAGGAACAGTCTGCTGCTTTTCAAAACAAAACAATACTCACTGATGTAGTTTGTCTGATCTCTTTGACCCATGTGCTGCTAACAGACATCAGACATCAGCTGAGGATGTCATTTATAGTAGGCATTTGTGAAATCTATGTACAATGACCATAACTGGCAATTATTAACACTCTTTGTTTGCATGGAAATGTACGTCTAAATGTTTTCACCGACATTCATGTTCCTAAACTCAGCAGGATGACTCCTACTGAGCTGGGCGAGCCCTCGTCGACAAAACAAACTGTGCTATTCCACTCAGGTTTTACAGGAATCGTTTCAAGCTTTCTACAAACTCATTGGAACTGATAAAACACATTCACTTAGTCTCACTTTATTGAAGCCCCGCAGCCCTCCATGCAGTGCATTAGGTCCATTGTTGATATCTAGTTGGTACAGTTTCCCCTCTAGTACGAAGCGTCCTCGTGCGATCCTGTTAGCCACACGGCCCACCACAGCTCCCAGGTACCGCTTATCAGAAACATAACCTGGCAACACAGCACACATTATTCTAATGTACCTTCAGTTCAGTAATAGCAGCCTTACATTAGCTTCAGGTCGTCTCGTATGGCTCTATATCCCAACTTCAAGATTCAAGGTTCCTTTATTGTCATTTCCATCTATGAAATCTATTTCACCGTCCATCAATTATAGCTAAAAGAAAGAACAAATATGTAAAAACAGGTGAAAGACCTAACATTAAAAACATGTTAAAACATGGTTAATAAATAAATAATAAATAGATACATTGTCCTCGCTTCTCTGAAGTGCTTTACATCCTTACATGGTGGCAGGAACTGGGTGGGGATGGGGGGCTCAGAGTTCATCTATGAATCTGATGACTGCCTATTTGTCAACTTGCTTTCTCGGGATTGGTGCTTCTCTATCTCCTTCCTTATGGTATTAGAGAGAACAGATGAGGAGGAGTCCTGAATGATGTTTAATACTGTGTGCTTCTTCATATAGTGTAAAGTAGTACAGTATAGTACAAAGACTATGTATGTCAGAATTATTTAGCATGTTTAAGCGCTGCCCAGCATGCCAACCAAACTATTTCATCCATCCATCATCTATACCACTTAATCCTGACTAGGGTCGCGAAGGGGGGCTGGAGCCAATCCTAGGTGGCATTGGACGAGAGGCGGGGTCCACCCCAAACAGGTCGCCAGTCTATCACAGGGCTGACATGCAAACAAGCAACCAACCACACACACACACACACACACACACAGTGCTACAAATTATTTAGAGTCACCAGTCAACCTAAGCTGCATATCTTTGGACTGTGGGAGGAAGCTGGAGTAGCCGGAGAGAACCCACACAGGCACAGGAGAACATGCAGACTCCACACAGAAAGGCCCCAGGTCAGCCCGGGCTCAAACCTGGAACCTTCTTGCTGTGAGGCGACAGCACTAACCACTGCTCCTGTATGTTGCCCATTCATTTGAAATTTGAATGCACTCTAGTGCTATGTGCATACAGAGTATATATAGAGTACCTACCTTCCAGGTCATCATAGCCCAGGGTTATGTCCTCCATACGACCATCTTTCCCTCTAGTCCACACAGACCTGATGATGGCACCCAGGGTGAGGACCTCCACCCGAACCTGGGAGGACTGGAGGACCCACATGTCCACGCTGCCCAGGTCAGACAAGTCTCCCCACTTCAGACAGCTGACCTCAGTCATTTTGGTCCTTCCAACCACACAGGGTACCACAGAAGATCACGGTTAAAATGCTGTTCCTTTGTCATTTTGACAAAAATCACAATCACCTTTATTTGGCCAAGTATGTTACACACAAGGACTTTGTTTCCGGTACAGAACCAAGGCGGCCATCTGGGGCGCCAACACACCGATGGCTCTAACCATCGGGGGCAACTTGGGGTCTGTGTCTTGCCCAAGGACACTTCGACACGTGGACTGCAGGCACCGAGATTCGAACCTCTGACACCCCCGGTTGGGAAACGACTGCTCCACCCACCAAACCACAGTTACCCCCATAAACGTGGTTTAACAAACACATCTCCTTCAGCTTCAGAGTCCTGCCCTCACCATATAACCCAGCTTACTGTGGGCTACAGTGGAACTTAGTGAGACCTCCGTGGGCTTTGCTCTGCAGAGGACACAGTCTAGGTACGTTTACACATATGAGCAGGAATAATGTACAAGCTGTAATGTTTGAAAACCAGTCTCACTGTTTCAGTGGAGACTAATGATGGAACTATTCAGGTGCAGCGGGCTTCTTATATGCACACCGACACAAAACAGCTGTAAAATAAGAAACGTGTGCTGACAGTACAGTATGTTACTCCTTCTTACCTAAACCTTTCTACAGTACAACCAGCAACTACGACGAGGCTTGTCGTCTGTCACCTCAACACACTTTATTAGGTCATAAGACTCTGGACCTCGGCGTGTTTACGTCCGACTTCCTGAAAGGATGACGTCTTCAGACAGCAGCACGCTGTCCCTCAGTACGGTTTGACAGGCTGTGCGTTTAGAAATAAGAGAACTTTCTCCCTGAAAAGGTTAAAAGTTCTGCCGTGTAGGCAGCTGACAAGATAGATAGATAGATAGATAGATAGATAGATAGATAGATAGATAGATAGATAGATAGATAGATAGATAGATAGATAGCCATTTGAGAGATGACATTGCATAACTTTATTCTGCTCTCTCTAGAACAAAGCTTTCAAAATATTGAATTGCCATCCCTGAAAAAGAAACAGATTTCTTCACAAATATTAAGTGATATTTAGTTATGTATACAGTTATGTATATTTAGGTATGTATAGAGAAGATAAGTCAATACAGATGTAACATGAAGCATAATGGTAAAACAGCTGCCTTACAGAATGCTCAGTGAAAGACTATTCACTTTACTGTATAGCACACCCATGGTCACCCTTTCCCTATGATTACCCAACTACAAGTTCACACTAAATTTCCTAGGTTACTGTTGTACAGGTATTGTGTCAGAATTATTGTGTACTGTATATACAAATGTTTAATGGTTGCACTTAATGTCGTACAGTATGCGTGGCATCCAAACATTGTGCTTCTCTAGCAGCCCACCTCCTAGTCTGTTGTATTCACATTATTCCTTAAAAAAATCGTTTTTTGCAAAGATACTCCAACACTGTGTATTCCTGGTGGTAATACAGCACTGCCAGCGGTTCTTACAGTGTTTGTTGACATTGACCCTGAGCTGCACTGACATTTGTGAGTGCAACCAGTGTCTAAAGGCTGCTGCTGCTTGTGCTTGTGTGAAGATGCAAATTAAATATATGAGGAACTTAAAATCAGACAAACAGAAAGTATGTGATTGTCCAGAATGTACAGATGTGTTACACCTCTGACCACACCCAACATCACTGCAAATGTTTGTTGAGCATACTTCTGTATCACTACAGCAAGACTGGAAGTTAAACTTCTGAATGTAGCATACAATAGAATACAGTAACAAGTCATCATCACATTGAGGCCAAAACAGAGGCTGACTCTGCAGTGATCTAACCGCCTGGTCTCTGAGGTCATTTCATCAGCAGGTTACAACATGATAGGTTAGAACATTTAGAACCTTATGCTAAGCATTTGCAGTTTGCTTCTTTTCAAGGTATCTCTCCCAGACTCCCCCACTCTTCTCAGTAATCCCACACATGCAGCACAACAGTGAGGCTTTCAAGTATAATGTGAACACAGCTGCAGGTTAGATAGAGTACGATTCCATTTGCATGTAATCTTAGCCAATTCCAAAAACCACAGCAGCTTCTTTAAACCATGTCTATGACAGCAAGTTGGTTTTTCAAGTCCAATGCTGATGTTTCACCACTAACAAAGTCATTGATTTGGTGCCTAAACCCAGAGGAGCTGACATTACTTTTTGTATTCTGGATTTAGCCAGCACTAACAGAAATGTTGTCCTGCTGATAAAGGTGTCAGATCAGAAAACCTTTACAATGTTTCATGGTTTGGGGTGTGAGTTGGACTGGTTCACACATACAGTAGGCCCTGTGAATTAGCTTCTGTGACAGATGAAATGTTTAAAGTGAAATGAGTTTAAGAAAGCTAGCAGCTTGGGACTGTTTGAATGAGCTGACAAATTTCAATGCCGCCATTAAAACAAATTACACGTGGTGTTATTATAGCGTGATAAAGTCTTTATTCATGTCACTTCTTGTTGTTTATCATTGTGCCATAAATGGTGCCTGAATAATGAGACAACTTTGGACATATCACGTCAGCCAATAGCTATCATCCAGTTCAAGTAATTCCCACTCTAATGGCTGTAGTGCTACATGGCCAGCAAACAGTATTCTTATCCCTCACACAATTCTCCATACAGCCATCTTGAATTGTCCTGTAACCTGAATGATTGCAATTCTTAAACATACTCATCTTTTTCATCTCCGCCATCCATCACACATGTCATGATCACAACACTTCAATTTGATGTGCAGATGTTAAGAACACCTTTAGGTTAAGGTTTTTGTTATACCTTGTCTTAAACCACATTAAACCATGTTTAAAATTTTATTCACATCTGCTAGCACAGAGACAGTCTACAGACATTCATGTGGACACCCCCAGCTTCTGTACAGTACAGCTGATACTGCAGGAGCTCAGGACCCTTTGAGAGACACAATATCCAATACAACAAAGGGGTTCTACAACAACACTGGGCCATGGCCTGCAGATTTATTGCTGGTTAATGTGACTTTATTAACAGTTTTGTTTGATTCCACTATTCAGAATGGCAGTGGCAGACTGGATAGTCTGATTTAAAGTGCTTTGATGGTGATTGATAAGCTGGTTATGTAGCCAAAATCCTGGAGACAGAATATGTTTTTGGTCATCTCGACCAGGTTTCAGCCTGTCAAAAGTACTTCAGTATTAAAGTAAGTCGTACACCACTCATTTGCAAAGTGAGCCTGAAGCACTGTACATTCAGTTTTAGATTAACAATCTTAGTCAGTGAATTTAATTATAACTGGATGAATTAAAATTTAATCAAAATGTTTTAAGTCAAATCATTTTTCTGCACAGTCCTGAAATGTTATAAAGTATGTCACTTGTTTTGTAAAATGTAACTCTGCAGAAGCAGTTTACTCCTGCCTGTGGAGTTTAAAGAAGCTGCTGTCAGCCCATCGGATATTTCCTACAAACATACTCCCTGTACACCGTTCCCATTTTGGAAACTTTGCAAACTTCCCTTTAATACCACCCTCAGTGCAAAATGTCAGCTGTGTGCATATGATGTGTCATAATCTGTCTGGGTAGACAGCCATGGAAAACATTGAGCACATTCATGCTCTGGATTGAATGAACCTTATGGCATTTCCTTTAGGCTAACACTCACACCAAACATGACACATTCAGCCCTACTTCTGTTAGGCTTTCTGGAAATCTGACAGTATATTGTTTATTCCATCTGTGAACATTGCAGCCTCTGGGGGCTGCTAGTGGGGATGTAGAGTCTTATTTGTGCTTGTCTTTAAATAGTAATTAGTGCCACAAAGCATGTAACATCTTTAGAAACCAATTTAACCCTATTTAGCAGAATGTGTGCAGTAAGATCATTTGAATCAAAGTAAACCATTGAATAAGCTGGATAAAGTCATCCAGCGGATGAGATCCTTTGTTGTTTCGGTGCGCTGGTTTAGCTGGCGTCACTGAGAACGGTCAGTATGGAACTGGCCTGTGAGGCAAGTTTGCTGCTGCTGTGATCTGTCAGTTTCCTGACACTTTCCTTCATATTCACAGAGTTCAGCTCTTCCTTCATCACACCTAGAGTAGACAAGGATGGGAATAAGAGGAGAGACAAGTGTAATTTACTATTTGTAGCTGAAGTAAAAAGCTGCAGATAAGACATATTCAGGATGATTATCTGAGTATGTATGTATACGTGCAGTGCTGTGTACAAGTGGACTGTGAATGCTTTCTTATTGAAAGCACAATACAAGACATACATACACTTGCAATCAAGACCAGTGATTTAACCCATTGCTTCAACATATTAGCATAAAGCTCACAGCATTATTATTTATATGCTAAAATTTAAAGAAAATCATGGTGACTGCTGCCAGCTTGTTCCTCCTCAGCTTCACCCGGGCTTCTATGAATTGAGTTCACACTGTAAAATGTCCATTTAGAAACCTGTGGTTAATGCCAGTGGTTCATTTTAGAGTCAGTCAGTTCTAACAAAACATCAATATAAATGAGCTGTGAACCCAAAAATCCTGGGCTTTTGATGGATGTTAACAGCTGTTTCTTCTCTCTGGGAGCTCACTAGACCCCATACCAAATAATAAGTATAACCACCTGTATTTGGCCAAGTATGTTACACACACAAGGAATTTTGTTTTTGTTACAGAGCCGAGGCAGCCATCTGCCGTGCTAACTCACACCTATGGCTCTAACCATCTGGGACAACTTGGGGTTCAATGTCGTGTCCAAGCACCCTTTTCACATGTGGACTGTGGGCACCGTGATTTGAACCTCCAACCCTTCGGTTGGGAGAAGACCGCTCTACCCACTGAACCACAGTCGCCCCAAGAGAAGCAAAGATTTAGTGTTGTGGTTAAATTTGAGCAAGCCAGGAGTCAAACCTAGAATTTTCTGATCTATAGTCAGACACATTATCCATTGCACCACTAGCCCCAACTACATCCTAGGTGTCATGTAGCACCCTATCACCTTTTGGTTTGTGTTGTAAATTTCCATCACATCCTGGTCACCACTGCCTCCTATGTAATCCCATCATGCTCCTCAGAATGGATTTGTCCCACCTCTTACAAAATGAACAGGAGGCAATTACCCCGTTTAGTTTATTACTTTTTCTGTGGCACTATGGTTATGGTTAAGGTGGTCCCTCACTCTCCTCCTAATTTTATTGCAACTGTTTCAGTGGAACTCCTTTTCTATTATCCTGTTACTGTATATAATACAGTGGGTACAGAAAGTATTCAGACCTCCTTAAATTTTTCACTCTTTGTTATATTGCAGCCATATGCTAAAATCATTTAAGTTCATTTTTTTCCTCATTAATGTACACACAGCACCCCATATTGACAGAAAAACACAGAATTTTTGACATTTTTGCAGATTTATTAAAAAAGAAAAACTGAAATATCACATGGTCATAAGTATTCAGACCCTTTGCTCAGTATTTAGTAGAAGCACCCGTTTGAGCTAATACAGTCACGAGTCTTTTTGGGAATGATGCAACGTTTTTCACACCTGCATTTGGGGATTCTGTGCCATTCCTCCTTGCAGATCCTCTCCAGTTCTGTCAGGTTGGATGGTAAACGTTGGTGGACAGCCATTTTCAGGTCTCTCCAGAGATGCTCAATTGGGTTTAAGTCAGGGCTCTGGCTGGGCCATTCA